AAATTTTGGGGGGGTTTGGGGAGCAAGGGGAGAAAACTGCTAATAAAGGAGTTAAAATGTAAAATAAGATTTTTAAAACGAATTAAAGGTGATAGGCAACAAAGGGAATGCCAAATTTTTAGACCCTACTTTAAGCTCATGAACCACATGGCAAATCCTCATCAAATCAGTTGCGGAGTCTTTTCCTTCCATCATCAAACCTCTTAAAAATGGCCAGGTTAATTACCTTTAGACCTGTTTTTACACTTATGTAAGCTTGGCTGCAGGCATTGTAGTTTCATGCTTACACATGCACTGGCTGTTTCTGCCTTCTAATTTTGCTGTTCTTGAGCTTTTGTGCTTTTTATTTCATATTGACAAGTGTGTAGCCTTGAGCCACTATAGCTGTTAATTCAGATGTTTGTTTTCTTTGTCGTTCTATTTACACGTAAGTCTTTACCTGCTTTAGCCATGTGTTGAGTGATGTAACATTGTTGGTCTGGTATTTGTAAACTGGGTGGGGGTGGTGGTGAAACGTCACCTCCCGCAATTTATGTCAGAACAATGCAGCCTCTGGAGGAAATCTTTAAGACTAGTAGAAATAGCCGCTGTTGTTTCCCTGTGGTCTGCATCCCTACGATCTGCTGAACTTCTTAAGTTTTTGGCTGTGAGCCTCTTCCTTGGGGATTTCCATAAAACAGCTGGGTGCCGCCTGGGTCATCAGTGGCAAAAGTCAGGCACGTGCTCACTGTCTGGTAGCCAATAGTAACTTTTGCAAACGCAGGCTCAGGAAACCCCAGGGTTCGGATGCTGCTGCTTTCGGAACGACAATGTTAGCAATCAGTCTTTTAACAGAATAAAACAAAAACATAGGATAGTGACAAAGGCTTCCACCCTTGGCAGTGGGGAGAGATGTTAAAGGAGCTCCAAAAGGTGTGCGGGGAACTAGTGTGGATGGAATTCCTTCACTGTTCCACGGGCTGAAGTACTGGGGAGAAGGGGGCGGAGATGGGCTCTTAGAGTCTGGCCCTTTAAGGAGGAGGGACAGCCTTAAGACTCTGTACCTTTAAGAGTCTCTTTGTCTGGAAACCTCCTTATTTACCCTCCTGTGCTTCAACCAAACTTCGACCCGCGATTCACAACGCCCCTCTACGCTGCCGCCCCTTACGCCAGGCTCAAATCGGCCGCACGTTTGTGGCTAACCCTAAACTTTGCGCCCGCGGCGCGAACCTTCAGAGAGGCAGTCTGTGCCGGGGTCGGGGCCAAGCGCTGCGCCGTTGGCGCAATGCGGGGTCCGGGGGGCGGGGCTCCGGCGGGCGGGCCAATGGGCGGGCAGGGGGCGGGGCCGTGTTCGGTTGTCTCGCGCCCTGGTGACAGCTCGCGCGTGCTGATGATGGCGGTAAATAGAGGGGGGGGTCGGGGAGGGGGCGGAGGAGGTAGGGAGGCAGCCAAGGGGGTAGCTCCAGGGGGTGGGGGGACGGGGACCGGGGAGGACGCGACGGCCAGGGAGCCCGTTCTAAGACTCGGAGGCGGGGACAGGAGTCTCCGGCACACTGGCCCTCCCCTTTAAAGAAGCCAAATCCTCACACACCGGGTGAGGGGCGACAAAGGCGGCGCGCGCCTCGCGGGCGGGAGGAGCGGCGGCAGGGGGCGGGACCGCGGCGCCGGCGGGCTGGGGGTGCCCGGGGCGGGGGCCGGCGGAGGCGAGAGCCGGCAGTCGGGGCGCGCCAGAGCATTATTTTGGCGGGGTGGGTTACGACTGGATTGGGGGTTAAAAAAAAAAAAAGCCTTGAGAGGAGAAGCGAAGGAAGGCTTAGGGATTGTGGGGGGAATGGGTCTAAGAATGAGATGAGGAGGATTAAGGGGAGAAAGGGTTAGAAGGCAGGGAGAGAAGGAGTGAGAAAAAGCCAGCCAAGGAGGTAGAAAGGAAGCAAAACCCAGGGTGGGTGTTCAGGAAGCCAGCAGGGAATGAGGTTAGGAAGACCAGGTATGGGGTTAGGTTTAAGAGCAGGGGTTTGAGGAAGAGAGCTTTGTAGGGGATGGTAGCAGGGTGAGGGTGCTGAGGGGAAGAGTTGGAAGTGGAAGGCAAGGAGGAACAGAGCTGGGGTGCTAGTTGGGAGTAGAGGAGAGAGGGTGATGAAGAGCCAGACGTGACAAGGGTGTGAACTAGTGCAGAGCGAGAGGAGCTGAAGGACTAGGACCCGCGGTGGGGTGGGAATCGCGAGGTTCTGAGAAAGGTATGGGTTAGTGGGTGAGCGATGGGTGTAAATTCTTGAAAGTGAGGGAGGGTGAAATAGATACTGGACGAGTACCAGGTGGAGTTAGGAATTAGCGTAGTGGAAGGGTGAATGGAAACAGATGAGAGGTGAGGCGTTTATAGGACAATTCTGGGGCCAGACAAGCTGAAAGGAGAAAAGAGTAAGGGTGTAAAGGAGTGATGGCGGTCTGGGACATGGTAACTGGGGAATTGTGTTAATTGACGAGGTTCAGCCAGATCCAAGGTAAAAACAGTGAGGTGGAGAGACAGGGCTAAAAGGGGATGGTGAGAGAAGCAAGGAAGAGATGGGCCCTGGGATTTAAAGGATGAGATGGGGTGTAAGGGAAGAGAATAGGATTAAGGGAATTTGGAGAAGTCCTGCTGGATGAAGAACTGGACTAGACTGTGCAGGAGTGGGGATCAAATGTGCAGGTTGTGGGGAGATGTTCCAGAAAGTCTGCATGGGTCAGGGCACAGATGCTATAGTGAAGGATCAAGTGTAGGGAGCCTTTGGTGCAGAAGAGGAAGAACCATGGTGAGTGAACAGAGACCTAGAGATAGGAGTAAACACTGAAAAGTAAGAGTGGAGATTGGGGGGCGGTGGTGGGTGTTTGCAGGAAAAGAGTTCTTTGTTGAGAAGAGAACTGTGTGTTGAAATTGTGGGTCCTTTTGTCTACAAAAGTAGGAAATTCCAGAAACCTGTCTTTCTCTTCAAGGCATCATGAATCTGCTTCCACCTCTCATTGTTTTTAATTCGACTTTCATGTCTACTTTGAAAAGATGAGGCCCATTTTGATTTGATTTTGTTCTGTGAATGATGAAGCATCAACTCGATGTTGAAAACCTCTGCATTTCGCTAGTGTTGTGATGATGGGAATACAGGTTTTATTTACTTACAGTATGGCTCTGCCTGTGTGGTGTGATAGTGTTGTGTTGTAACAGGGTGTACCTGACAGCACTGAGCAGAGTGCCTTAGCCACAGCACATTCATTTTCAATGGAGAGCCTACTGTTGTTGAGATAGAGAAGGATGAACATCTTTTTGTTTTGATTAACCAACCAGATTTCTGCCTAATTGTTTTTTGGTAGTTGGAGAATATTGAGAAATCATTTCAGAAGAGAGCAAATAACCAACTAGAGAAGTTTGCTGAGGAAGAGATTTAAATCAGGACTGTGAGGGCTTTGAGTTCCTAAGCTGCCTTTAGCTTTATGTGGGACATTTCACACTGTAGTAGGTGACTTACTCATTAACTAAATAGAATAAAGAAAGGGAGATTTGTAGAACAGTGGAGGATTTTAGAGTGGGACTTCTTTTTTAGGTTAAGTAGTGAATTTATGAGTAATTTTTTTTTATCATGAAAAAGCCTCCATACAATAATGCAATGTCTTGGACAGCTCCACTGCCTCTCCTGTTTTGTAGTTGTGACTAAAGAAGGCCATATTAATATTAATTTCCTAGAAGCTTTTGATTTTTAAGACACTTCTGGAAATATAAAGGAAGATGAGAAATTTGGGACAAAATTTAGATTATTCTTACTATTTTGTTTGATGATTTTTTTAAAATCTTTTTTTTTTTTAATTTTTATTCATTTGACAGAGAGAGAGAGAGATCACAGGTAGGCAGAGAGGCAGGCAGAGAGAGAGGGAAGCAGGCTCACCGCTGAGCAGAGAGCCCGATGCGGGGCTCGATCCCAGGACCCTGAGATCATGACCTGAGCCGAAGGCAGAGGCTTAACCCACTGAGCCACCCAGGTGCCCCTTTGTTTGATGATTTTTATTCTGAAGCTTTTACATTTAGTTACGAATGTGAATGATTATTACTTTTTATTTGATAGTTCCAAAGGATAGCTATAATTTACTTAAGGAATAAATGCAAACCGATCTTGAGAATCTTATTTGTGGTTATTTTATTAGCGTACATTCAGATATATAAAGATAACTTTTTTCCAAAGTTGTATAAATTTTGAATTGCCACCGTTTTGTGGGTTTTTGTGTAAATGGCAAAGATGATAGCATTTGTAACAGCAAAGTTATATTTTGATTAGTGGTTATCAGAATCACTGATGTTCATTTATGTCAGTTTAGAATCTAAAATCTATCTGGATTCAGCTTCTATGTTCATGGATTCTGGATTCTCTTAGGCAGATGGTCAAGGTGACCGCATTGATTTTGTAATTTAATAGAAGATTCTTAGAAATTACTATTTTTGCTGCTAAATTTCAAGAGGATTAGTCTGAAATGTAAACTTTTGAGCTGAAGAGTAACTTTGATGTGGGGCACCTGTTTCTGTAGGATGTTTGTGCATATTCCCTTCCTGTCTAGATAGGTTTGGTATTACTAGTGGGTTGTACTCTGTTTATGGTTTTGCCATTTTTGAAATGTAATTGTTTTATATTTGATGTCTTCATGTAAATAATTTTAGACTTATTTGATGTTGATGAAGAAGGGAAAAAGTCTGTTTGGGTTCTGTCTTTTGTCTCTATCTGCCGCAGTAGTATGCTAAATACACTGATACTTATTGGGAATGGTTGTTTCTCATTGATATTTCTAAAACTGAAAATGGGTAATCATTTGGTTCAGATAATACTATTCATCAATAAGGACTCAGTGATAAATGTAAGCTTTGTTTTCATTTGCTCAAGTAAACTCAGTTGAACTTTATTTTGCTTATAATCTTGTTTGCTAAGCAAAAAACTTTTAAGTTCTATATTCAGATTTGAGTGAGTAGGTTTTACATACTTAAATGTTTTTCTGATTAATTGTAGATTCTTTGGATGGGAAGAGACCTTAAAAGGACCTCTAGTTTATCCTGCAACTTCAGTCAATATCCCACTTAAATCATCCCAGGTAGATACAAATTTATCCTGTTTTCATAAATCTTCAGAGAGAATGTGGCAACCTTTGTAGATAATCTTTTCTGGTATTTAATTATTTTCTTTATTAGGACAGTCTGCCTTCTGTCTAACCAGCATCTACCTAATACTTTATTTGTATGTGTTCTCTGTTGCCCTGTTCTCCATTTCTGAGTAAAAATATGTGCTTACTATAGTATTAAGGGGACCCTAGTTCTTCATAAACTTAATAACAGTAGTTGCCCACATATATGCTTTTATGCCGCCCATTGTTGTAAGTTCTTTGTAGATTGGAACTCGTTCACTCCTAGCAGCAACCCTATGAGGTTGGTGTTGTTACTGTTCCCATTTTACATGTGATGAAATAAAGTCTCCTTGAGATTAAATGACTTGTCCTCAAGGATTCACTCAGACTTTTTTTTCCAGTTGTAGAATTCTACCAAGTGGTGGGGATAGGACTTGAACCTTGGCATTTTGCAGGCTGTCTCTGCTCTGGTATTACCTCTGCTTGACGGTTATGAACTGATCAGTCACCATGTTCTTCTCCAGATTAAACAGTGCTGGTTTATCTTATCCCTTAACCTGTCCTGTTTGCCAGTCCTTAGATTATCCCTGTGGTTCTGTTACTGACCTCTCCTCAGTGGCTTGCTAGATGGGGAACCTGGGACAAACACCATGAGGGCTGTGGCTAATGCAAAGATTACATCAGGGTTCTTACATGCCCTTATTTTTTTTCTTTACAAAATGGTGTTCATAAAACAAAACAACCTAAAACCAGTAAAAATGCCTAAGTGCATTGCAGATAAATGGTTACCTATCTATCTTTTTCACATAAAAAAGGACTCGTTATAAACCATATAGGTTTATAGTTGAGAGATTGTTGCCCATTGAGGAAAAATGGAACTCCAATTTCAGTGCAGATGTCTGTAAGCAAAGTGTGTTCAGATTCTGCCTGGTTTTTTACTGTCTTCTCTTTATGTGTGTCTGTGCAAACAATATACTAAATATATTTATGTATGCTTTAATTTGGTTAAGTAAATTGATCCACCCTTTTTATTAAGACTTTATTTATTTTTTTAGAGCAGCTTTAGGTTCACAGCAAAATTGAGAGGAAGGTGCAGAAATTTCCCGTATCCCCCTGCTCCCTTACATGTACAGCCAGCCTCTCCCATTATCAACATTCCCTCACCAGAGTGATTCATTTGTTATAGTTGATCCACTCTCATTTTTAAAAAAATAACTAATAATTAGTGTTTATTATGTGCCCAGCATGAGCTAAGTATGTGAATTGTTTGAAACTCTCAGCAACCCTGTGAGAGAGCTTCTGTTGTTAACACTCTTTTTGTGTGTGTGACTTGATATTTTTATTATGTTTCAGGCTTATGGAAAAGTTGCAAAGATAGTGTGGGAACTTCTCTGTTCCCTCATTCAGATTCACCAGTTGCTTTCATTTGCCCCATTTGCTTTATCATTTTCAAGAAAAGTTGAAAGAAAGTGGGTAAGAAGGCCTTATTTTCAGGACCCTGAGATCACGACCCAAGCCGAAGGCAGAGGCCCAACCCACTGAGCCACCCAGGCGCCCCAAGAAGGCCTAATTTTAAAAAGAAAAGGTGGCGGTACATGGGTGGCTCAGTTAGTTAAGCGTCTGCCTTCAGTTCAGGTTATGTTCCCAAGGTACTAGGATTGAGCCCCATGTCAGGCTCCCTGCTTAACTTCTCTCTCCTGTTTTGCCCTTCTCCCTGTTCCTTTTCTCTGTCTCAAATAAATAAAATCTTTAAAAAAAAATAAAAAGGAAAGGGGAGAATGTTTTGAATGTATATTAAGTTGGTATGTTTGATTTTATTTATTTATTTATTAAAGATTTTATTTATTTATTTGATAGACAGAGACCACAGGTAGGCAGAGAGGCAGGCAGAGAGAGAGGAGGAAGCAGGCTCCCTGCTGAGCGGAGAGCCTGACTCGGGGCTTGATCCCAGGACCCCAAGATCACGACCTGAGCCGAAGGCAGAGGCTTTAACCCACTGAGCCACCCAGGCGCCCCTTATTTTTTTTTTTTTTTTAAGATTTTTATTTATTTATTTGTCAGAGAAAGAGGGAGAGAGAGTGAGCGAGCACAGGCAGACAGAGAGGCAGGCAGAGGCAGAGGGAGAAGCAGGCTCCCTGCCGAGCAAGGAGCCCGATGTGGGACTCGATCCCAGGACGCTGGGATCATGACCTGAGCCGAAGGCAGTGGCTCAACCAACTGAGACACCCAGGCGCCCCAAGTATGTTTGATTTTAGTTAATTTCACCTGTGAATGACAAATTTGTAGGCCCCTCCCTCGTCAGCAAAAACCATGTCATGGTGTACACCTCTGATGGGGACCTTCTTAGCATCTGGCATGATGTGTCCACACACAAGGAAGTCCTCAGGATATGATAACTGTTAATGACATATGGGTGATTATTATGTTTTTATGGATTTTATTTATTTGAGAGAGAGAGCGTGCACGAGTAGCGGGAGGGGCAGAGGGAGAGGGACAAGCAGACTCCCCACTGAGTGAGGAGCCCAATGTGGGGCTTGATCCCAGGAGGACCCCAAAATCATAACCTGAGCTGAAGTCCGACACTTAATGGACTGAGCCTTTCACACACCCCGTTTGGGTGATTGTTATGTGTAAACAGGAGTCACAGGCCTGTTCATCACTGTGACTGAGACATATTTAGGTGAAATACATATATTGAAGATCCTTATGTAGCATCAAGGAGCTGGAAGAAATCTAAGTGCAGAATATACTTCTTAAGAACCAGGTTGCAGTTAATACAAATAGGTTTGCCTTATGGTAGAGGAATGAATATAAATATCCTAACATGTTATTACCTTCCTCCAAAGTAAATCTAAATTTTGAGAGTCTTTTCAGTTGTCATCATATATGGAGATGTAACTGACTCCATCCCACTACTATCTTCCAGCTCATCCTCAGTCTTTATTAAAATGGTAGCCAGTCCATTTCGTAAAAGCATGACCTGCAGATTGAGGCCTGTTCAGTTTTAGTATAAGGACTATTAACTATAGTCTTATGTATGTAAAATACAGCACTTGTGGGCTTCTCCCCACCCCACGTCTTTAAGTGATCATCAAAGCTATGAAATATAGCTCCTTACTAAAGCTGATTGTAATAATTAAAAACACTTAGCTTTCATAAGGATGAGAAAATTATAAATTATTTGGAAAGCATCCTTTCCCGTCATGCATTATTGTTTCTGAGACATGGGCAGTTTTTAAAGACTATAATACTGTTCCTTCGCCATTTACATGTTAATAGAAGTCTGAAAAGTAAGGCGCTCTTCTAAAATTTTCGGGGTTGTTTTTATTATATGTCAAGTTGTAAATAGCATTCTGTGACAGGTATTTTCTCTCTTTGTCTTCTATTGAGCTAATTAGTAATTTACACTCTAGTAGAATCTCTTCCAGCCTCACTGTGTGAAAATGCCTGCTACTCTATGCCTTCCATGCAGCCTGGGCTGGCAAATGATTGGGGGCAGACGTTGGTTACCGCTTCGGAAGGATCAGGGATAAATTTTTTTTGTATTGTGTTTTTATAAACATACAGGCTTTTGTATATGCCCTGCGACTGCCCTGATGCCCACCCCACCCCCATTCAAATAGGCATGTTATGACCTCCTGTAATCCAGAGCTACTGTCCTTGATTCAGTTTTGGATCGTTTTCTATTCTGTCCCCCACCCCCACCCCAGCATTGCAGGATTTGGGAAGGATTAGCAGGGCAGTCTGGCAGAGTTTAGAGCCCGGGAAGCTGGTCTTCATTGCTCCCTGCAATTGCCAGAATACAGAGCTTCTTCTCATTGCCTTTAGAACCTAGCAGCGCTTCTTTCATTGGGCAAGTTATGTGAGGGGTGGGCGTGCAGCTCTGCTGTTAGTGAGTTAGGAAGATGCTTTCATACAATACTTGTATTCCTCCAAAGGAAGGATGGGTCCTACCTTTATGTCAGCTTTTTCACAATGCAGTCATGAGTGACCGAAAGATAATTTATAGCCTGTCTTTGGCACTTTGTCATGTTTGTGTTCTGCTCTTTCCTGCCCCCTGCTCTATCTCTTTCTGCCAGTCTCTGATACGGGAAAGATGATGTGTAGGATCTGTCATGTGCTCATGTGGACTGGCCATGTGGACATACTAAAGTAGCAAGAGCTTAGCTTTTGGATTTGAAATAAAGTCTTAAGTATCAGTTTGTTCTATGAAGAATATAAATTTTATTTGAGAATTAAGGGAAGCATAGAGAGGAGTTTACTGTTGCATCAGTTTTGAGTCAAAACCTTTCTAGAGGGGCACCTGGGTGGCTCAGTGGGTTAAGGCCTCTGCCTTCGGCTCAGGTCATGATCTCAGGGTCCTGGGATCAGGCCCCACGTCGGGCTCTCTGTTCAGTGGGGGGCCTGCTTCCTCCTCTCTCTCTGCCTGCCTCTCTGACTACTTGTGATCTCTCTGTCTCTGTCAAATAAATAAATAAAATCTTTAAAAAAAAAAACAACACCTTTCTAGAATACTAGATAATTTGTGGTACTTATTTTTGCAGTTATGGGTACTAACTTATCAGGATAATAAGGTCAGTCCCTGTTAGAGCTCATTAGAGTTTCCCTGACAAAAATTGTTACCTGGAGGTGGCCACAAAGAGAATTAGGTAAGAAAATGTGTGAATAGCTCAGTTCTGCCGTCATTGCTAATAGCATTGTAATCATAAGCATCTAGCCACTGACAGTGAATCAGCATTTATGAACAGAAGACATCACATTTATGTAAACATTTATAGAGTAGGTGGAGGCTTTGTTCGTGTTTTGTTTTCATAATCTGAAATGACTAGAGCATCTCTACGGATGATCATTGCTAAGATCTACTCTTATTCTCCTTTTTCTGTGTTCTAATACAGCTACTCATATCAGTTGTCTTAATATTATTGTATGTTCATGGCCAGACACTCGTTATAGGCTTGTGCTTTAACATC